GAGTCTCACTTCTTTGCCCTTGGTAGAGTGCTGTGAAATCACAGCTCACAGCAACCTCCAGCTCTTGGGCTTAGGCGGTTTTCTTGCCTCAGCCTCCTGAGTAGCTGGGACTACAGGTGCCAGCTCTTGTGCTTAGGCAACTCTCTTGCCTTAGCCTCCTGAATAGTTTGGACCACAGATGCCCTCCACAATGCCTGGCTATTTTTTGTTGTAGTTTGGCTGGGGCCAGGTTTGAACTTGCTACCCTCAGTATATGGGGCCAGTGCCCTAGTCCCTAAGCCATAGGCGCCGCCCACGCCCAGCTATTTTTTTTTTTTCTTTTAGAGACAGAGTCTCACTTTGTCACCCTTGGTAGAGTGCTGTGACGTCATAGCTCACAGCAACCTCCAGCTCTTGGGCTCAGGCGGTTTTCTTGCCTCAGCCTCCTGAGTAGCTGGGACTACAGGTGCCTGCTACAATGCCTGGCTATTTTTTGTTGCAGTTTGACTGGGACAGGGTTTGAACCTGACACCCTCAGTATATGGGGTGGCTCCCTACTCACTGAGCCACAGGCCCCGCCCTTTTTTAATTTTTTGTTTATTTATTTTTTGAGAGACAGAATTTCACTGGCTATTTGTTGTTTAGCAGGTCCTGGGCCAGGTTCAAACCCACCAGCCTCTGTTTATGTGGCCGGCATTCTAACCACTGAGCTATGGGTTCAGAGCCCATTTTTAACATTTTTAAGTGTACAGTTCAGTGGCATTAAGTGCATCACCGCTACTCATCTCCAGAATTTTTTCGCTGTCCCAAACCAAAACTCTATACCCATTAAATAAGTTCCCGTTGTCCCCTCTATCTAGTATCTGGTAACAACTGTTCTATTTTCTGTCTCCATGAATTTGACTTTTCTACTACAGGTGCCTTGTATGAGTGGAATCATGTAATATTTGTCTGTTTGCTTCTGACATATTTCACTTGGCATAATTTTTTTTTTGTTTGTTTGTTTTTTGTTTTTTTTGAGACATAGCCTTAAGCTATCCCCCTGGCTAGAGTGCTATGGCATCACAGCTCACAGCAACCTCCAACTCCTGGGCTCAAGTGAGTTTCCTGCCTCAGCCTCCCAAGTAGCTGGGACCTGCCACAACGCCTGGCTATTTTTTGGCTACAGCCATCATTGTTGTTTGGCAGGCCCTGGCTGGATTTAAACCCGCCAGCTCAGGCGTATGTGGCTGGCGCCTTAGCTGCTTGAGCCACGGGCGCCGAGCCAAGAATACACTTACTAACTTTGAGTTTGGAAACTTTATAAGGAGCTGGGAAAATTTTCACCTTGGTGTTGACTGATTTTCTTTGCTACCTATATAAGGGTAAAGTATATTCCCTACTCTGGTGGGTGATAAGCCAATTAAACATTAAGTGATAGGATTACAGCTGCTAAGGAGAGAGAGGTTTTTGAAGATTTATACCTTGTTTGCAGTTGTCTGCATTAAGATACAGAAAGTTTGGGCTTGGTGCCTGTAGTTCAAGTGGCTAAGGCGCCAGCCACATACACCTGAGTTGGTGGGTTCAAATCCAGCCTGGGCCTGCTGAACAACAATGACAACTATAACCAAAAAATAGCCGGGTGTTGTGGTGGGTGCCTATAGTCCCAGGTACTTGGGAGGCTGAGGCAAGAGAATCGCTTAAAGCCCAGGAATTGGAGGTTGATGTGAACTGTGATGCCACAGCATTCTACTGAGAGTGACAGCTTGAGGCTCTGTCTCAAAAAAACACACAAAACCCCCCAGAAATTTTGAAGGATTGTCTTTCTTTAATATTGTTGTATGTAATTAAGCCTTTTACTTGGTAAATGGTATGCTTTAACTCGAAAAGGTTTACTTAGAAGCTCCTCCTCATGTTATCTGAGTAACATGATGAAAATAAACAGAGTGACTTGTTTAAACTTGCCTTCTAGTGTTTGCTAGTTCCTCCTTCTTCATTTGGTTCTTTGTCTTTGCCGCAGGGTTCTTTTTAATATGTATGGATGATTACGCAGTTAGAAAAACTGTTCATAAAGATGATATTGTTGAGTGCCTACTGTTTATACTCCTAGGAGTATGAAATGATGTACATACACATTTTGCTTTTATTCAGAAAATAACTGTGGTCAAATTGTCATATGGTCTGCCATAGACAGTGTAAATGGAAAATAACCCAAACTGTAAAATAATTTAAAGAGGTTCATTTCTGAGCTGAATCTGTGTGACCACGGCCCCCAAGAGCCACTCTCAAGAAACCTTGAGCAAGTGATCTTGCCATGGTTGGGTTACAGTTTTACACATTTCAGGGAAATAGGAGTTACACATAAAGTCAAAAATCAGTACATGTAAGGCCTATATTGGTTTTGGCCCCAAAAGGCAGAACATCTGGAAGCAGGGCATTACAGGCTATAGGTGGGTTTAAAGATTCTTTGATTTGTAATTGGTTAAAGAAATGAAGCTTTGTCTAAAGCAGTGGTCCTCAACCTTCCTAATGCAGCGGCCTTTTAATACAGTTCCTGTGGGTAGCAACCCACAGGTTGAGAACCGCTGGAAAGCCATGGAATGTTTTAAGTTAAGGAAGTCTGTTTTTTTTTTTTTCTGAATTTTGTGAAGGAAGTTTTAATTAGAATATACAATCATTGTATTATATTTCATGCTGCAACTTGATTTCCCGTTCAACATTTTTCAGATCTGTTAATAAATGTTAATATCATTTGTTGCATTTGACAGATATACAGTATTCTGTCAAGAATTTTGCATTTTGTTCCATTTCTGTGTACTGCATATCAAGCCGTGATTAATATCCTGGTACATATTTCCTGAGCATACATACTCATAAGCAGAATTGCTAACCAGTTTTGAAGCTGTTAGAGGAACGTGTCCCTACCTCCCAAGGTAATAACCATTTAGAATATAGCCTTCTCATGTTCCTGTTTTT